CTACAGGAAATTAGTTGTAGGAAAACGACAGTTTTAGCCTCCTTAGTTTAGGCCAAATACAAGGCAGCAAGAAAAGAAACCGCCCTCAAGGCAAGCCCTAAGCTCCCCCTCCCATTCAAATGCCCTCACCTCTAGCCCAGTGCTGCCAGTCTTCAGACTGGGGCGTGGGTTCTGCTTAGCATTTCTGAGTGGGAGGGACTATCACTTTACTCACGGCTGAGAGGTGGGAAGGACGTGGCTGGTGCTGCAGAAAACACTGCCATTTTAAATGTATAGAAGTCAGTGAATTACAGTTCTGATTCTCCAAGGACCAGACTATTGCTATGCATGCTATATACTGACTTTATAGACTATCGGCAAAGCAATTACTTGAGTACGTTATATGCCAAAGAGGTAAATAACATGTTTTACGTCAATAAACCGTAACTGTAAATTTCTTCATACTGTGCATTTAAAATTTCAACTCCGACATTTCATTGCAAAGTTTAGAAATAACCAATATAACATGGCTCTCTTATGTGTAGCTGTTGGTGACTGTGTCACTATATTTGGTGGGCATTTAAATTTGGTAACACCATAAAAGAAATAAAATAGCCCTAGCTGGTTTGGCTTAGTGGATAGAGTCGGCCTGCGGACTGAAGGGTCCCAGGTTCAATTCTGGTCAAGGGCACATGTCTGGGTTGTGGGCTCAATCCCAAGTAGGGGGCATGCAGGAGGCAGCCAATCAATGATTCTCTCTCATCATTGATGTTTCTAATTCTCTCTCCCTCTTCCTTCCTCTCTGAAATCAATAAAAAATATTTTAAAAAAAGAAATAAAATAACATTAATGTTTATCTCTAGATTCACCAGCTGTGGGTATAGAGATTTTCCCCAACGTGTGGATGGGTGTGTACTGACCCGGTCGCCCCTGATCCCATGGATCTTTGTATGTGCACCATCCACATCCAAGACATGCTTTGGGCTCAGCACTGAAGTCTGTGGTTTGCAAGGCTCTCCGGCCTGTGCAAACTTAGACTCATTAGCATTTTTGCTCTAAGTCCAAATCACTGCCCATTTTCATTTCACTAAATTGGATTTCGGACATGAGAGAAGAGGCTACAGCTATTTTGTGGGACAAAATTATATTCTAATGTTTTGTTGAGGATAGATGCTCTTATAAAGCAACAATGGCACCAATTTCAGTGAACCGGCAATCTCCTGCTTTCAACCCTTTTGTTCTAAGTAATTTCTCCCTTCGTGGTAAGAGGGAGTCAAAATGTTTACACCACTTTCTGGCATGGATCTCGAGTAACCTAAGCAAAGCGTAAGGAGGCGGGAAAATACCAGTTTGCACAATGCTGTCACTTATTGCAGATGAAAACGTGTGGAAATAGGAAATTAAATCTTAAAACTGAAAAATATCCAATGTCCCTGCAGGTACCACCACTGTGACTGGTTATACTTTCTGAGCATAATAGTGAATCCAGATAAATCCATCATATAAGAAAGTCACCCTTTCTCCCGGAAAAGTCCACCTTTCATCCAATTTAAATAACATATTCGATCCCTAGGGTTTAAATATATCTGATGATTAGAAAAGGGTTAATTTCCAGGATACTGAAAGAACTAGGTTTCTGGAGATATGGTCTTTACAGGAATTCATTAATTAGTTATATGGGCTGAAATCAAATCTGAAAGCATAAGAAATTTATTTTCTCAATCTCTTTCAAGTCATCCAATAAAAGGTACAGGTTCTGGGCGGGGTGGGGGTGGGGGGCAGAATGACCTGGTTTTAAATTATAGCTGGGTCTCTTGCTAGCCGTGACGTCTCGGGGAAATCATTTAACCTTAACCATCTATTCTTACCCTCCTAAGATGGGGTTAATACCACCTAACTTGCTGAGTTGAGAAGTGTCAAGGACATGGTGACCCTTAATAAGTGATAATTATTCCTGTGATGTAGGCAGTAAATAGGAAGACACTGATTATGTATTTCAAATCATTCACGAAGTTCAGTATTAATTACACAAAGCGTGTGAATAATGATCACCATAATAATGCAATCTCTTAGCAAATAATATAACGTAGTAATGTAATCTCTTAGCAAAACCTCTGCTGCATATCATGCGATTTACCCTTTCTGAGTAGTATACCTGTATTGACAATTAATAGTCACAACAACCCTCTGAGGTACTATTTATTATCCTCATTGTACAAATAAGGACTCTGAGGCACAGAGAGGTTCAGTAATTTGCTCAAGGTTGAACAGCAGAGTCAGGATTCAAGCCCTGGCAATGTAACTGCAGAGCTTATGCATTAAACCACTTCATTAAAAGCCTGAGAAGAACATTGATGTAACATAAGAGCGATTCACCCATCAAATACAGGTATGTATTAAATAATACAAGATGCTACATTCTGTGCAGGACACAGAACCTATAACCTTCAAGAAGCTAACAATATGGCAACTAGAAGCAATTATACTACCCGGAAGTTAGGACTCAAAAGCCATATTTCTCTGGATTAAAAAAAGGGTCTCATTTGTATTACTGTTACCTAATAGCCATACAATTCCAAAAATTATGGCACAACCACTGACTACTTACAGAGCCCGTCAGGGTTTCTGCATCTTCTGAAAAATATGAATAAAACCATTACTGTACTTCGTTCATCTCTAAGATCTTTTAAAAAGAGATGCAGAATTTATTTTTATGTCCTTACTATAGTGTGTCTAACATATCACCACCAAAATAGGTCATAAACAGAATTCCTGGTCATCAACAATACCAAAAATTGGTCAAAAGGTAGATCAATGTTAAAAGTAACTCAAATAAGCAGCAAAAGAGGGTCCTCTCTCGATGCACATAGATAAGAACAATGATGCTATGACCAGGCATATAGATTTCTTTTCTCTTCCCTCTCTTATTGTCTTAGTATTATTTTTCATTGTCTTAAAGCACAAATAACATAAGTAGGCTTCTGACTGCCTGAAAGTATTTTATAAGCTTTAACATAGGGTTACTCTCATTTACTCTAGGAGAGAATACGTTACAACCTATCAAAACAAAACAAAAATAATTGTGGAAAATGCATGTCTATAATGTGTATACAATTATTTATGTTAAAGTAAAAAGTTACCTTTATTGCCCTTTTAACCATTTTTGTCTCAAAGAATTGCACTACCAAATAATGATGTAGTTTAAAACTGGAACACTAATCTAACGGCTGTAGCTTCTGCCTTTTCATTCCTTTTCAAGGGGAAACAGGCTGTTCAGAAGCCAAGTGGGTTAGTAAAAGGAATGGCACCATTTTCCGTTCAGTGTGGGTGAAGGCTAGACGGCAATGATTTTTTTTTCTCATTCTTTTTCAGGAAACAATGGAAACCAAAGGACAGTTAGCAGCCCGGAAATCAAATGGAAAAGGTGTTGCAAATGATCAGTAAAAGGCACCTGGCAGGTAATTCATCTAAAACGACTGGCTTTGCAAGTGTCGCCAGTCTGGACACGAATGACATTACCCCGCTTCCCTGGACAAGAAGGCAGTGCCCTCAGTGGCCCACATGGTGCTCACCTGAGTCTGTCTGTCTTCTGGCAACCCTGGCACATGGCTGAAACTTGAAGGCATCTCCCCAAGATCTGGTTACTTCCCACACCTCCTTGCTATTGATTGTCTGCAATTCCCTCAGTTACAAACACGCGTCCTTCATAATTTGCGATTTTATTTAGCTTTTCAAGTGCCGTGATGGTGACGGTGTGTTGTGGAATCTGTGTTTTTCTGTTGTTGACAAGAGGACATCTGAAGGTCCCTTGTAGCAAGGTTTCGGATACACCGATGGAATCTTTCCTTTGGTTATGTACAGAACACCTTTATATTTGCTTTTTTTTTTTATTTCATTGGTTGCCCGGAAAGTTCTTGGTGAAAGAAAACAGTAGAGAAGCATCTTTTGAAATTATTGCCTAATCACTCACATTTAATTCAAGTCACGCCTGATTGTGGTGTATACCTAAAATCCCAAAGATGGCATTTTCCTTCTCGATTCAGTCATTATAGGGTGATATCAATGCTTTTTTTTTTGTAGTAAAAAAATATGCATTTTGTGAGTCATTTCACCACCTTGGAATTTCAGACTTGATTTGTGCGGTTTATTCAAACAGTGGTTTTCCTTATGAAATCATGTAAGTAGGAACCATCTGGAAAGGTTACTGTGGAAACGGCAGGGGCTAGGGGGGCAGGGACAGAGAGCAAGAGATGCCATGACAACCTTTTTCGGGTTTCCTAGGAAACCTGGGTTGCTATGGAAACTACATCAGCCGGTTTGGAATTAGTAACTTCCGCTGGAAGGAATGTCTGCCACTTTAATCTTCTTGTGATGCCACAGAAGCTTATCTCTCAGATGCATTTAGGAAATTTTGTTTGTTTGTTTCAGCAGCACTGAAAACATCTGTTTCTAGCGGCTGGAACACACACACACACACACACACACACACACACACAGAACTTCACAGGAATGGGTTAGTCTCATACTTTGGAAATGCCTAACAAGCCCAAAAGCCCAAAGAGTTAAATGAATGAGTCAGATCAGTACGTCTTGGGCACTTCCCTTTGTTCAAAGTTGTAGAGATCCTTAAAATTCTGGGAAGGGGGTTCCGAACAGAATGGGAATTCCAGTCAAAAACCAAATAAACTTCCGGTGCGTTTATACGTCTTTTTGATCGGACTTCCCATCCACACATCCACAGTGTCGGCAGTTGAGCTAAACTATTCAGTGCTGCTGAGTAAAGGTCCAAAGAAAGGAGGCATCCTTCCGGCGTGCGCCTGCTTTACTTAGTAAAGAAAAGCTGTCTTAATTCTGAGGTTAAACAGTTACTCTAACTGTTCTGCAGTTTCATTTCCTCCCAGGATGTACAGGGGTTTTTTTGTTTTTTTTTTTGTTTTCTTCCATAGGGCGGGTCCTGGAAATCAAATTCAAAGTTTGCTGTTTGCAATATTAAGAGAGAGAGAGAAAGAGAGAGAGAGAGAGAGAGAGAGAGAGAGAGAGAGAGAGAGAGAGAAGAGCTGAGAGAATGCAGCCACTTGCAAAACAGACACCTGTTTCAGTGTGAAGCAGTCCTGGGGTGGGGGGGGGGGGGAATGAAGTGCGCTGTCCACTTCCTCCTGTCCTGTCCTGGATGGATGGTCTGGAAATGTCTAAAACAAGGGCATACACAGACCAGGGGGGCACGGTCCGCACGAGCCTGAGCACAGCAGGTCACTGGGATCGTAGGTTACACATCCGTAAATATCTTTTTGATGCTGACACAGGAGTTGGGGTTATTGTTCGCGGTGCAGGCGGCGGTGGAATTGGCCGTCTTGAAGGGGGTCTGGGGGAAGGCGCTGTGGTTCATGGCCCCCTCTTCGATCACCATGTACTCCGACTTACTCAGGGTGGAGTTGCTCCTGGTTTTCCGCAGCTCCTCGGCCGAGGCGGAGAGGTGCTGGCAGCTGCCCACGTGCATGTACTGGGCTTGCTCTTCGCCTTCGGTCTCCCGGTGGTAGAAGTAGTTGAAGTTGGAGACAATCACGGGGACCGGCAGGGCGATGGTCAGGACGCCCGCGATGGCGCAGAGCGACCCCACAATCTTGCCCCCGATGGTCACCGGGTGCATATCCCCGTAGCCCACGGTCGTCATGGTGACCACGGCCCACCAGAAGGCGTCGGGGATGCTGCTGAAGCGCGAGGTGGGGTCGTCCGCCTCGGCGAAGTAGACGGCGCTGGAGAAGAGGATGACGCCGATGAAGAGGAAGAAGATGAGCAGCCCCAGCTCCCGCATGGACGCCTTCAGCGTCTGGCCCAGGATCTGCAGCCCCTTGGAGTGGCGGGAGAGCTTGAAGATGCGGAAGACCCGCACCAGCCGGATGACGCGCAGGATGGCCAGGGACATGGCCTGCTGCCCGTTGCCCTGGCGCTCGGCCAGCTCCGTGCCCAGCGTGATGAAGTAGGGGATGATGGCCACGATGTCGATCAGGTTCATGATGTTCCGCGAGAAGGTGGCCTTGCTGGGGCACGCGAAGAACCGCACCAGCAGCTCAAAGGAGAACCAGATGATGCACAGCGTCTCCACCACGAAGAAGGGGTCGGAGAAGCTGGAGGCCCCCGCGGCGGCGGCCCCCGACGCCGTGCCGTTGCCCGCCCCCTCCGGCAGCTCCGGCGCCGGCGGCGGCGCGAAGTAGCCCCGCTCGTCGCGGAACTCGGGCAGCGTCTCCAGGCAGAAGATGACGATGGAGACGAGGATGACGAGCACGGACACGATGGCGATGCCCCGCGCCGGCCCCGAGCTCTCCGGGTACTCGAAGAGCAGCCACACCTGGCGCTGGAAGTCGCGGCGGGGCAGCGGCCGCTCCTCCTCGCGCAGGAAGCCCTCGTCTCGCGGAACTTCTCCATGGCCTCCTCGCCCAGCTGGTAGAAGCGGATCTCCTCGGAGAAGATGTCGATGGGCACGTTGACCGGCCGGCGGATGCGCCCCCCGGACTGGTAGTAGTAGAGGATGGCGTCGAAGCTGGGCCGGTTGCGGTCGAAGAAGTACTCGTTGCGGAGCGGGTCGAAGTACCGCATGCGCCGCTTGGGGTCGCCCAGCAGCGTCTCGGGGAACTGGCAGAGGGTCTTGAGCTGCGTCTCGAAGCGCAGCCCCGAGATGTTGATGACCACGCGCTCCCCGCAGCAGTCCTGGCGCCGGCGGCCGGCAGCGCGGGCGGCAGCGGCTCGTAGCGGTCGCGGTCACGGTCACG